TGTATTCTAGAAATATCTCACCAAAATATCAAGAGCAATCATTTATATGCACATAAAAATAAATACTAAAAGTGCATTAAAATTCAAAAAAATAGCACAAAAAGTAGAGTTGGGAGAGTGTAGGTGAATAGCCAAAATTTTCAAAAAAATATATGTGCTTCAAATTTATGCTAAATCACATAAATTAATATCTAATCAAATCCTAAACTAAAACTATGGTAGGCTTTGATATCAACTGATAAAAAAACTTTATGTATAAAAAAGGTTATACAAATCCAAGATTTGCCATAATAAAAATTTAGAAAATAAAGCGTACCTGATTTATGATCTATGGTTTCACAGGAAAACAATATTCATCAGATTAACTACTAGTCTTCAATGCACTAAGATCTTCCTCTTTTTTTCTTTATAACTCTCTAATGGGTGAGATCTTTATGTTTTGAATGACAGGAGAAGGAACCTAGCCTTTCCTTTATATAGTGAATCCCTAGTCCTAACCATCATAAGAGATAGGGTTTCCTATAGGCCTACACACTAATTTTGCATCCTACACATTAATTCACATTTATTGTATTCATGTATCACTATTTCATACATGAGCCGACAATTCATATATCATTATTGCATATATGAATCAATAAATTCATATATCTCTATTACATACACGAATAATCAGATTTAATTGTAGGATATAATAAATTGTCACTTTATTAAGAACAAATGAGTTTAGCCTATTTTATAAAAGACCAAATAAATATAAATAATGTAAGTTCATAATTATGTATTAAGAAAATCCAAGAACAATTGCAGTTCGGATTGCACATGAGCATCACATGCCTTCTTGAATGGCTGAAGCATGAAGTTGTGTGGGTCAAATCCATGAGTATCAATTGCATAAAATGATTTTTATGCAAATAAAATGATTTAGAGCATAAACATATCTCAACAAATACAAACTCTAGGAAATAAACGCACCAAAATTAACCCAAAGGACAATTAAGATGTTGTTGATTGAATGAATGTCCACACTCCATATATAACAGTTTCCTTCATAACTGGTCTTCCAATTGAGGAAATTGTTGCAGCAGCCACATTACACCCTTCATAGCTGCCTGTATATTATATTCAAAATTAACCAATTAATTAAATAACAAGTCTAAAATTCTTATGTTCAAAGTTAGAAGCAAAACTTGATGCAATTTTAAGATTTTAAGCTTCATTATATATATATATATAGTGCTCGTTGGGCCTAGCTTTTTTTCAGTTTATCTACCTTTTAAAAGTAGAAACCATGCAAAACAAAGATTTTAGGAAGCTTTTGAAAAAAAATAGCTTTGTGTAAAGAACAAAATTTTTAAAAAAAAACTTTAAGAAAAACTTCAAAGATGAGCTTTCTCTTTTCTTTTTTTAAAAACATGGCTCCTTGTCAAAAGAATTTTTTCTTTTCGTCTCAAGAATGTTCTCATCTATTAAAAAAAATCCTAACATTATCTATTTTTTTATATAATTTATTATTAATTATAAATTTTATTTTATATAAAAATAATTTTTATATTTCTAAAAATTTGTTTTAAATAAATAAAAAATATAAAGTTAACATTTTTTCCATTGTGAACAAAAGAATTTGTGATTAATAGAAATTTATTTATGAAATACCTCTTATAGTAATTTTAATCAAAATTAGAACTTATATAAGTTGTTTTATCAAACAGTTTATATATTAAAAAAAAGCTTATAAAAGTAGCTTTACCAAATAGATTTAACTTAATTTTAAAAATTATTACTTTTCATAAGTTATTACTTTTCATAAGAGTTTTATAATAATTTTTAAGCTAAAAAAAGTCAGACCAAACAAGCTCATAGTTTTATTTTACTTGTTATTTGTTCTTATTAATTTGATTCATAATTATTATAAAGACTCTACTTTGTTACAGCTTAACTGATATTTGGCATTTCTACTTTTCTTGTTATTTAAAAGGTTATGCATGTAATGGGTAGGGACATAAGGTAATTTCCATACCAAACCTGCCTCCCCAAGCTTGATTGAAGGTTCAACAACATCTCGTCCATAACTGTTCAACAGGGAAATAATTTAATCTCTTGGACTACTACTAACATCGTTACAATCTCACCTAAAAAGAAGAATAAGAAATTATATGTGTGTGTGTGTATAAGTATATTACATAACAACTAAATACAAGATGGACTAAAATTTGATGGCTAATAAAATAGGTCCTCATACATGATGACATGACTAATGATGCCATGTTTATATGGTGAGTTTAGTTCATAGAATAAAATAAAAAGAGAATAAAATGATTATTCTATAACTATAAAATATGATACACATAATTATTATGTAATATGATTCACGAAATAGAATAAGATAAAAATTATTATATATGACTCATTTTGACATTTAGTTAGAAAAAATAACGTTGGAATGACAAAAGAATATGCGATAAAAAAACAAAAATACCTTTTATTATAATATTAATTTTTAATTTAAAATATTTATTTTTTATAATTTATTAAAAATATTAATAAATTTTTCACAGCTTTAATATGATTATTTATTTTTAATTACTTTTATTTTAAAAATATCAATAATTTAAAGTTTATTTAAAATATTAACAATTTATAATTTAAATATTAATATGATTATTTTATTTTATTCTTTATTTTAAAAATAAAAATATTTATGATTTATAATTAATATTTTATTTTTATTTTTAAATTAAAATATTAATTTTTATAATTTATAGTTAAAAGTTTAAAAATATTAATTTTTTTTAATTTATAATCAAAACTTTAAACTTTTTATTTTAAATGCATTTTGGTTTTTTTTCTGTCTTTTCAATCAAAAGCCACTAGATTTGTGGTCAGCATAATAGAGCATTGATCTAATGCTCTTTATGGCTAGATTTGGTTGTTACATCGCAAAATTGGTGTTTCTTGTGATAAGATCTGGCCATGAAATGCTAGATCTAACCATAGGGATTTGGTAGGAGAGTGCCAAATTGACGCTTCAAATCTGACTATGGAGGCACCAATACCGTCATCACCCTCCACCTTCCATTAGTGGTGGAGGAAATTTAGAGAGAGAAGGAAAGAGACATATGAATAATGAGAGAAAGAACCCGTTAAAAATGAAAAAAATATTATCTTATATAAGATTGTAATTTTTAAAATTAAGTAAGGGCATTTATATCTAATAAATTTTTAATCTATTCATGCACATTCGTGTTACAGATCTCATATCAGTATGAGATAAGATAGATCTTGAGAATATAAACGTGGGTCTTCCACCACCTATTAGGAATGTTTTTTAAATTGGGAATGTGCGCCTATGATTTATAGGCTTACTTAAGCTCTATTTCCAGAGCTTAAGACTACATGATGTTGGACTTAATAAGTTTCGGCCCGTGATATTTGGTATGAGAGCAGACGCAGCAAACCTAATCTTCACTAATGTAGGGTTCTCATGAGAGATACAAAGGTCGACGTAAACTCAAATTAATGTAAGAGTCTCTTCCCTCTACTAATAAAACGTTAGTACAACAAGGGTATTGCCCAATTGGATGGGGTAAAATGTTACTAATTCCACATCAATAAGAGATGGAGTGGGTCTTAGGAATATAAATACATATCTTTCATCACCTATAAAGTATGTCTTTTGGGTTAGAAATGCGAGCTTATAATTTATAGAATTATTTAAACTCTATTTTCAAAACTTAAGACTATACGAAGTTAGGTTTAAATTTCAATCTGTAACACTCGAAATAACTAATACTTAAAGGGTTTGTGTTAATTATTTTATGTTTCTATGAAATAACTATTTTGAGGAATGACTATTTCATACTACATATATAAACCAAATGAAATAATAACGGTCACCTTAGACATAAGGCAATAATGGGACAAATGTATATTTTTCAGCACATCTAGCACTTTGCGTAATTAGAGTAGAAACAAAAATTCAAAATTCGACTTCTAGTTTACTTGTGGGTAGATATAACCACAATTAAAGCAATGCCAAAGTCAAGAAATTAGTAGTGCTATATGTAAAAGCATGAAAAAGGTTATAATCTACTAGTTTGTTGCCTGAACAATACACTTGGGATGGTAAAATTTTTTTTTCAATTGAGTTGAGAATACTTTGTGAAATAGATATGAAATAGTAATTATATTATCATATCTAATTGTTGATGCACATTGACATGTACAAAATATGAACTGTTGTTATTCTAGTCACCATTATTTATATTTTTTTATTAAATTTTATATAATATCATCTCTTATATATTTTATTTTAATTTTTTTATTTAAAAGATAATATAAATTTTATTGACAATCACCATGACTATTGAGAATAATAAAAAGACTCATTGAAATCTATATGAAAAAATAAATTATAATATTATAAAATATTTTTTACAAAGTAATAAAGTTGAACGGTAAAATTATCGTTAACAACATTGTAGAGTGCAATACAATCTGATTGTATTAGTTTTATATTGCAATCACATTACATTCATTGGCTGTAATGCGATTCATTGCAATCTTACATTGCAGTGGTTTGTTGCAAAACAAACATTACAATATAATTTAATTAGGCAATTTGTAGAAAATGTGATCCCACTTTCTTCATATCAAATACTACCTAAGGGCATACATATATCTTAGCAAGACTATATATAATTCCATTATTTCTTTGTTTTTCTTTTTTCCTCCATCTTGCTATTTTTGCAAATGGATACTAAAGTTATACCAATGGATATATTTAAGTTCCCTTATATTGTTATTTTATTAGTTAATATTTTTTATTTTAGAAAGTAAAAAATAGAGAGTACATTTCAATATAAAAAAACTTCTTTTTTTAAATTTAAGATTTAGAAAAATTAAAATTGAACTTTTATCAATAATAGTTGCATATTTTAATTTGATAAAGAAAATTATTTTATATAATTTGCTTGAGTAATTGACATGTATATATTTTTTAATTTTTAATGTAAAGAAAAGATAATTAAATTTCAATTGTTACTTTAATATTTATTAAATATAATTTAATATTTAATAATATTATTAAAAAATTAAAAAAAATGTAATAACCGTATGGAAGGAAGGAAGCCCTTGGGATTTTTCTTCAAAGATAGTTATAGATAGATTATAAATTAGTCGGAAACTTTTGTCTTCCTAGGCAGGCTTTTCATAGGCACCAAGTGTACATGAAACATGAGTTATTGACCCAGGCACCTGGCTTTCCAGGAAGGGTGGGAACCGTGTTGGTGGCTTCAAGCGGTCTGTGGCTGGGCCATTCTCTATGACTTTACCGAGTGTCAAGCAAAGGAAGCCCTTGGGGTTTACAATAAAATATGAGATACCGACCAGGCAGTTGGTTTTCCAAGTGGCGCGGGAACGGAGTTGGTGGCTCAAAGCAATATGGCTTGTGGCTGGGGCTTTCTCTATATCTTTGCCAAGTGTCAAGCAAGGAAGTTCTTTGGGCCTTCTTTATAAATATATATATTCCCATGCATTACCACCGCAAAATCTTCCTCAATTTTTTAATGAGTAATTCATGGATCATACAAGCAGTGAACCCATTTAAGTCAACAATCCATATATGTTTCCCTTACGCAACTAACTGTATTTAAATATTGCAATCATTCAAAAAAAAAATATACAATAAAATAAAAAATAAAAAGAAGAAATCACTTACATTATTTGCCTTGTGCCATCGACCATCTGCAGCCGATAAAAACTGCAACCTTTGCTATAAGGAAAAACCTTTCCCTTCCATTCTAATAAATTATGTTAATTCAATTAATATACCCAAAACAAAACAAAATAAAACTCTTAAATGGAAAATCAAAAATGGTCTAGTGCTAACATACCAAAATGCCATGCAACTCCAACAGTAGATGACTCCTCATTAGACGTGATATCATCAACAACCATTTGGAGGTCCATGCTCATGGAATCAACGAAACTTTTGTAGGCTTCTAAGAATGCCTAATCCATTTATATATAATTGTAATTTTCGTATCAAGCAATTGAAAAAAAAAATTAAACTAAAGAAAGAAATGAAACCAGAGGAAATTTATATATAATTTGACCGCCTTTAGTAGTATCTAATTTTTTATTTCTTTATTTTTGATACATAGTAGTATTTTTTTCTTTTAAAAGATAAAAAAATACATTCAAATACAAAATAAATAATTTTTCTGTTAATTTTGGCATAAAAGGAAATATTAATGTTCTACTTGTTCAATATTTACAAACCAAAAAAAAAAAGCAAATAATTCTTTTAACATGTACCTTGCGACCGACGAAGGGACGAGGAAACGTAAGGTCTTCATACACACATTCCTCGGCAATCAAGAGCTGTACGGACGCGAGATCATGGCTATTAATTCCTGCATAGAAACTCCGAATAACTTCCACTGCACCCTGTGATCCCGGCGAAACGGTGGCTGGCGAATGATTTTCTACAGCCGAGGAAGATGAAGAGACCTTGATCATCAAGGTGTGGGGAATCCATTCTCTTTTCCTTCTTCTGCAGGGAATAAATTTATTGGCAAGGAGCTTTGTTGAGCAAGGAGAAGCTTTGTGGAGTTGAAGGAGAGTGGTGGATGGGGAAGGGAGGGGAATAATTCTAGAGTTAATAAGCAGCATGCTTGTTAGGTTGATATGAGTCTAAGTATGTCTGAACTCGGGATGAGTTATATATATCTTTTTCATTAATTACCCAACTTCCCACGCTACAAGTTGGATCTAAAATTAATAAAACATTTTTCACATTTATTTTTTAGTGAATAACATTCATAACACGTTTAATTTTTCTTTTTTTTTAAAAAAAGATATTATGCAAGCATTGGGATTAAAATATATTGTTATTTATATATCTACTATCTACAACATAAGTAAAAATAATTTTTCCTTCGTTCCATTATTTATTTGTATAACTGTGTTTTTGTGTTATAGTGATAGCCGGATCTCTTAATCGTGGGGGATGAATAAGCCTATCGCTCTATGTGAATGCTCCAAAGTCCAACGGTTGGGCCGAATAAGGCCTGGCCCATTAACATCTCTACCAACACAATCAAGGAGATTTTTCATCTATTCTCACAATATAGAAGATGGTAGACTTCAAAACTCTAGAGCTAGCACACGCCCTTGCTGCAGGAACTGAAGTTAGGCTCACAGCCACCATCCTCTACTGCTAGCTTCAAGCTCTTTCGATTCACATTAACCCCATAGTTTCATTTTTGGTGGATTGTTCTGTTTATAGATTAATAATGATGCCATCCCTCTAAATTACCTAATCTTATTATCATTTGACTTATAGGCAACTAGTGTTTGGCATGCCTAAACAGCAAGTAGTAAATACTCTAACCTTATTCATTACCCTATTAGGCTTGAATTATATGAGAGGATATAGGTTTTTTCCATCCCATTTTCTCTCAACCTTAGTTATTATTTTCTAATTCCATTTTCTAAGTAGATAAAGGACCAAAACATCTTTGGTCCTTTTATCTACTTCGTTTATTTCATTGATCATTTCGGAAGAGTTTGAATTTCAAATTCTAGTCTGGGTTAAGACAATAAACTACATAAATATTATCTTATATATACACAGATGGGTAATGAAATTTTTAAACTCTATAAAAGTTTAAAGGTTTATCACATATATCCATATAATTCAACATGTAAATAGTTAAAACACAAAGCTAGAAAAATAATGAAATGATTTCAACATGTGTATCAATATCGACATGTCATTATCTTTCAAGTTTTAGGTGAAAACTTCAAAAATACAATGAAACTGAGTGATGGATTGCAATTTGTATTAATAAAACCAATTCATCGACCATCCATCAATATATCCCAAGGTTGCCATTTTCTATAAAATTTTTCTACAATAAAATGGTTTATAAAAAATCAAGAGAATATTGAAAAAAAAAATGAAAGATTGTTATTTGTTGTTTTTGTGTCTCTTTGAAACCAAGGAGAGTCATAAAAGTTTATTTCTAATAGGCACGACTCTTTATTTTTAACAGACATAATTGTTTATTTCCAACAAACATAACTATCTGTTTATACAACATATCTATTGCTAATTAAACCTAAATATAATTTATTATTTAACTATATGTCCAAGTGCCAAGTATCTTTATAATATATTAGTTATAGATTATTAATTTAATTAACTTTCAAGACCAATCAAAGTTAGGAAACCCTAACTATGATCTAATTTACGCTTTAACCCACATTAATCCAACTATTAAGAACTTGCTCTTCTCTTCATTTTAAAAACTCTTTCTTTTTCTTCTCTTTCTCTTCCAATGTAAGATGGTAACCCACACCTATTATTATTGAAATTTTCCAACATAAATTTAATAATTTCCTTATTTATAATTGAATAAACACATTACATGTATTGAAATTCATAGGTAGAGTTCAAACATTCAAATGTCAATAAATAGGGCTAGAAATTTATCTTAAATATAATTTGGTGAGAGGGGATGTTATGTAATTTAAATCAAGAACTAGAACGAATGAAGCCAATGAACTTTGCACAAGTGGGTTAGTGGAGTAAGAATTCAATAGGGAAATAATAATGAAAGAAAAAAATAAATCTCCCTTGACCAAAAGTTCAAAAGTACGATATTTAGCTAAGAGAAATAATTGTCAAATCTTATCGTATAGTCTTCATATTATTTCCTTTTGGCTTTTAGTGTGTGTAAAGAAAATAGCAAAATAATGTCTCCAACTTGTTTTTCTTTCGTACATATATATATATATATATGATCCATAAGTGGTTGGGATATCTAAATATCTGCTTTGTCACAATTTCCATGAGAGAAAAAATAGTGTCATTTTATTATATAATGTAAAAAATAATTACTTTTTTCATCTGCTTTTTTTTTAATCAATCTTTTCTTTTTGAAATATATTAAAATCACATCTAATCACCTAATACATTTTATATTTTTTTTCTATACTTTTAAATTTATTTTATCAATTTTGAAATTTATTTATATTGAAAAAAATCATAAAACTTATATTTTATTAAAAATCTTAAAATTTAATATAAAATACACTGAATTAATAATTCCTTTGTGATTTTTGAACAATTCAAAGAAAAAAATAAGATGGAAAGAATAGAGATTAATCAATGTTTCATGTAAAATAAAGAAATAAAATAAAATAAAGAGTTTAACATTTAAGTTTTGATATAGTTACGGAGTTGGATAATCTTTTTTAAAGAAATAGATAACCGTAAATACAAATTTGTGAATGACTAATACTTATTGTCACATGTTTATTTTTTACGTATTTATAAATAATAATATAAATTATATATAAAATAAAAAAAATTTACAAATAAAAGATAGGTATAATTGAAAGACAATTATATATATAAAAGATAAGCAACATGTCAATTATATATAATCGAAATTATGAAATATTAATTTATAAATTATTAAAATTAAGAAAATATTTTTAATGAAAGTTATTCAATGTAATTAAATGTTATATATTTACAAATTAAATAAATTTTATTAATTATATATATAAATATATAAAAAGTATGGTAGGAAGAGTGAGGAATAGATATTTTGAGATAAAAAGGAGTATACAACGATCCAGCTCATGTGGACTCAGGTGATTCGATGATGTGACCCAAATAATAGATATTTTGGCCTCTCTCTCTCTCTCTCTCTATATATCAAATTTATCTATGGCCATTTGCAATGGGCTTCTTAGAAAAGGACATGAATATTTCCCCATGTCCCGCCAGCCTGCCCTACGACCCTAACTTCCTCCTTTTCCTAGCCTACTCCCACTGACCATAAATTCCCCCATATATAGTTCCATACCTAACTTCCTCCCCTTTTTTTTTAAAATACAAAAAAACAAAACTTTAACCTAACACCAATTTAAATCTAATTTGTCTTTAAACCTTTTGAATATATTTCATCATACACTGTATTTATGGATATTGATGATACTTGAACTTTGTTGATAAGATCCATCCCTATGGATGTCAATCGGTTTCTTACAATTATAGATCATAAATTACTTAACTCGATTAAAGAAGATTAAGGTAACTTATAATTGGATTTGGATAGTAAAATTACTACTCATCACAAACTTGAGTAGTGATCTTAAAGTACCTATTACTTGAATTATTCAAAAAAATATAATTATATATTTATGACGCTCTATTAATTCATCAAATAATCAAATTCAAATTAAAATACGTAAAACATAGTAAGTATCTTTATTCGTGACATCTTTATTGATCTCGAAGTAACTTTCGTTTTCAATATACCTTTTTTTTTTTGTGTATTAGTAAGAAAGTATCCTTATAGCTAACTGGAAGCAATGTAAAAAATTTACTTTGAAAATGTATTAATTTCGAAATAATCTTCAAAAGCCTGGTTATTTAGATCTATACCAAGCAATGACTAATTCATCAACAGTTAATGCATGAAAGATAAGAAAAGGCCAAACCTTTTGAATTCAGAGAATTTTAATGATGTCTTATTAATGTTTGTGCCCTTTCTGTTACTTGCCCTTTTTCTTTCTAGTTAGTTATGAACCCACAAAGCCAAAAAGGGTTAATGATATTTAATATCATTAATATCATTTTTTGGATTTTAATGATACTTAAACTCTATTGATGAAGTCCTTGAGAGAGTTGGCAATAGGTCAAGTACCCTGTATTATCCGACTCAATTAAAATATATTTAATATTTTATATTGGGGGTCGGATAGGGTTTACATAGTAAAATTACTACTTACCATAGGTTTGGGTAAGATTTATGAGTAATGATCTTAAAATACCTATTATTTGAATGTACATATAAATAATAATTTTATATATATTATTTTTATTTAAAATTTTTATAATTAGTGTAATACTTAGTAAATTTATTAATTGTTATAAATATGATTTTAAATTTTAATTTATTTTTTATGAACTAACTTTAAGTTATTAATGTAATTTTTATTAATAATATATAAAAATTATTTTAATATGATATTTAACCAGTACTATCTAAAATATTCGAATATAGATTCAGAGTAGCAATTTCAAAATTTAATTGCATATTTATAAGGTTTAAGATATTTTATTAAATAATTGAGTTCGACTTAGATATCTTGACATGTCTATTCATCTAGATATAAGTAATTTTAGTTTCTAAATTTATTTGGTGTGTATTAGTAAGAAAGTATCCTTATAGCTGACTTTGAAGAACAAAATTTCCATTGTAAAAGCAGGTGAAAAATGTACTAATTTCAATATAATCTTGAAAAGAATTGTAATGATGATTATAAATATTCACCACTCTTTTTTTTCTTTCTAGTTAGTTACCAACCCACAAAGCGAAAATCAAAAGTCAGCTGAATGGCAAAAAATCTGATTAACTTTAAGCAAAGGCAGATGAAGGTGCTAAAAAGTACAATTACAAAAAGTAGAGAGACAAATCTTGCAGAGAGAGAGAGATTGGGAGGTTGGGAATCTATGCAGAAAAGCACGTTGTTTCATTCATTGATGCCCCAATTCCAGGCTTTGCAGGCAGGCAGGCAGGGATGGCTCTTGTTTATATATTTTATTAGTTTATTACTGTCATTTATTTCTTTATTTGGCAGCAAATGGGAGTGCAAAACAAAACATCTG